TCGTGAATAAAATAATAATTTCCAACTCATGAGAAACTCCTTATTTATGTAAGGATTCAGTTTTAATGACAGCTCATCTAGGGGCAAAAGAACCCGTTTCCTCCAATAAAATATCGAGAATGCCTTTCTTCCAATGTATTTTGACGGTTCTACCCTCCAGATTTTGAAATACCTAATGTAGCATTAGTTATTCATTTTGGACTTTGATATTAGAAAAACATCTACTTGATTTTCTCAGGTATAGAGAAAAACAAAGATTTCAAGCTATAAAAATAATACACCTTGCAGCACATTTTTTAAACTCTATTTTCAAGATTTTCGTGTGTTTATAGAACTACTTGACTTGAACTATTGTTACAGTTTAAAATTATTATTAGAGATGGTTCTCACACCATCCTAATAATTTTTTATACTAAAATTACATCTCATGACAAAGTTTGGGAGTGCACCTTATTTTGATAATCTAAAGATGCAATCTTATGCAAACGACACCATCACCAAGAGAATATGCCAAAACATACTTTTCCTATCCAATTAGTTAAAATTGGGTTGTCTAATTTGTCAAAACTTGTCAAATATTACTCTTTGAGCATTAATTTATGTATGCTTTTGATGCTAGAAGGAAATGTGGGAGGTTAAATCAACTCTTTTCCTGAAAGAAGATGGGTGTAAATCAAGCGAGAACTTTTTTCTTTCATAAAATAAAAACTATTCTTATAACATACGCCTCCCAAAATATGACATTCGAATCCTGAACAATAATGGTGAAAGAAGATAGGTGAAATCAAGCCATAAATTTTTTTTTTCATAAAATAAAAACTATTCTTATAACATATGCCTCCCAAAATATGGAACATAAAACCCTAATTTAATTTGAGATCCAAGTAAATATTTAAAACTCTAAAATATCTCAAAAACATTCTAAAAATACCCTAGTGAACATGTGAACCATTGCGCATGGATAGTACCATGAATACTACTTATGTAGTAAATAACAAATATAAAAACCTTAGAATCTTTAAGAACTAAAAATCTTAAAACTAAATCTTAAAACTAAAATTAAAAAAAAATATATTTTTAAAAATAAATAAAAAAATAAGAATAATTTTACTTTTCATTAGCTATTAACCAAACTAGATTGGTTTTGCCCCGTGGCGATCACTTCCTTTGCCTGCAATTCTTGCATGATCTTTCTCCTTTAAATCACTTGTTGTCCAAAGTTAAACCAAAATAAACCACAACATGGAAAGAAATATGTATATACACCATAACTAAGATAAAAGATACTAAAGAAATGAAATTAGAAAAAGGCATTTATGTATGAAGATTGAAAACCTCGAACAACCCAGGCTGGACAATAAGTAAACTTGCCACCAAATTTAGAATTTTTCATCACAACAACTACCCTTCTCAAGAAAATACCTCAAACACAACTAAAGTAAAGGAAATGAAAAAGGGTGAGGTTTGTATAGAGCCGAGGCTCTAAACAATCAAATTAAAGCCCACCTTCAAATAGTGTTAAGAAATATGGTTTCAATACGGGAAAGTTTTGTGAAAACGTTAAATTATATTTTCATATTTAGTTATAAAATTTAAAGCTTTCAAAATAGTGTAGATCGAGCAGATCTATGAAAACTTGAAAATTAACGGTCCAAAAATGCATTACAAGAAGCACTATTTCCAAAACTTAAAATCTATTTTTTTCTCATGTCCATGCATCTTGATGTCAAGATGATCAATTTGATAATATTTGGGCATTAAAACAATCTCTCCTAGACCAGATGGTTTTCCTATGGTTTTCTTCCATCGCTTTTGGAATGTGCTTAAAGGAGAACTTTTGGAGTTCTTGAAAAGTTTCATGATTAGGAGAAAAATCTTTAAAGGAGTTGACTCAACTTTTTTGGCTTTGATTCTTAAGAAGGACACCATTTCTAGTTTTTTTTATTTCAGGACAATTAGTCTGCTAACTAGCCTTTATAAAATTATCGTCAAAGTTTTGGCTAAAAGATTGAAGGTTGTTCTCCCCTACCTCATCTCTAGCACCCAATCTGCCTTTATTCAAGAACGCCAGATTGCAGATAGTGTGTTGGTTGCACAAGAATGCATTCATTCCAGAGTTATTAGTAGGAAACTGGGGCTTGTTATGAAATTCGATATGGAGAAAGCCTATGCTCGTGTTGAATGGGGTGTATTACTTGACATCATGAAAGCTATGGGCTTGGTGAAAAATGGATGAGGTGGATTTTGGGTTGTTTATCTTCGGCACATTTTTCGGTCTTATTCAAAGACAGTCTTATTGGTTTTTCAATGCCTCAAGAGGCTTATGCCAAGGTGATCCATTGTCCCCTTCCTTGTTCACTATTTATGCTGAGTACTTCAATCTCATGCTTAGTAGGATAGAGAGTTTGGGTTATTTTGAGGGCTTTTCTATACCAAATTCTGACATTGTTATCCCATATTTGTAATATGTTGATGATACTGTGATCTTCTATGATGTGAAGGCGGATCAGGTATATAATATTGCAAGATTTTTAGATGTTTGTGAAGTAACTTTAGGCATTAAAGTTAACTTTCATAAATCTTCTTTAGTTGGTATTAATGGAGATGGAGGAGAGATTGTTGATTTGGCTAACTTGTTTGGGTGTAAGGTAGGCCATTTCCCTTTTACTTACTTAGGACTTCCTATTTCTAACTCAAGGCTTATTATTGCAGTATGAGATATTATTCTTGAGAGAGTCCGAATTAAACTTGCTCCGTGGAAATATAAAAATTTATCTTTAGGGGGAAGGGTTACTTTATTGAAAACATATTTATCTAATCTACCAATCTACCAAATGTCTTTGATCCATATGCCTGCAGCAGTTGCAAAAAGATTAGATAAAATGATGCGTGATTTCCTATGGGGTTCATCTATAGAAAGAAGAAAATTTCATTTACTTAGATGGGATAAAGTGTGTTATTGGAAAAAAGAAAGTGGCTTGGTCATTAGGAATACTTCGGTTAATCAGGCAATGATGTGCAAGTGGTTGTGGTGCAGCTCCCTTTTTAATTGTGGTATAGAGTTTTGGTGTCCAAATATGGGATGGAATGCAACAATATGTGGATTAGAGGTGGGAGACGTAACAAGCTTTCGTATTTATGGAGAGCAATTTATAATTGTAGACCATTGGTGTCAGGATATTTCAAATGGATTGTTGGTGATGGGAGGAAAGTTTCTTTTTGGCACCACAAATGACTTGGAGATTACCTTTTAACATTGGCTTATCCAGAGTTATTTTGGAGAGTTACTCAGCCTGAACTGTCTGTTTGTGAGGCAGCAGATCGAAAGGGTAGTATGACGTCCTTGAATGTTTCATTGATGTATATTAGATTAAGCAATATGGTGTTGTAACAATGGTGCGAGTTGATGGACCGATTGAATGATGTATATATCTCAGCAAATGCAGAAGATGATTTAATTTGGGAAATTGAATGTGATGAGAGGTTCTCGGTCAAATCCTGCTACAATCTTCTCTTCCACTATCGATGGCGTAGCTCTACTCCCTTTGTTGCAAAGGTGTGGAAGTGGCATGTTCCCTATAAAGTTCAGGTTTTTATATGGTTGGCAGCATTGAATAAGGTTTTCACTGTGGACAGTTTGATTAAAAGGAGGTAAATTTTACTAAATATATGTCTCATTTGTAAATCGGATGCAGAGACTGGAGCCCATTTGTTTTTACATTGCCCTTTAACGGCTTGGATTTGGTCTTGATTGTTTGGTTTGGTGGGAATCTCTATTGTTCTCCCTTCTGCAGTAGGTATTGTTTCACAGTTATCTACTCCTCACTTGTCACAGGTTGGGAAATTTGTTTGAAATATCTCAAAAGGTGCCATCCTATGGGAGGTTTCGAAGGAGATGAATAAAAGAACATTTGAGGGGAAATGCTGCCAGTGAAAGTTATCTTAAACAATATCAAGCTTTCTATATGAGCATGGATCTCTGTTACCAAGGAGGGAAGAAATATTAACAAGGTTGATGTCATGGCTAATCTGCTTAATCTATTTTTAGTTGAAAAGCCTAACATTAGGCCGAAGAATAATAGTGATTGTTTGAAGTTGAATTTTGATGGGAGCTCTTTGGGGAATTCTGGTTTAGCTGGTATTGGTGGAGTAATACGTGATTCTTCAGGTTGTCTTACGCTCCTGTGCTGGCCCGATTGGAGTTAGAACGACAAACTTTGCAGAGTTGAGTGCTCTATTGTTTGGTGTAAAATTGGTGGCTATAGAATATCATAGTAAATCTTGCCTAATTGAAGGTGATTCCTTAAATGTTATCAAATGGTGGAAAAATGAGCAAAAGTTCATTGGGAACTTCGCCGCACTCGGCTATAAATTATGGACTTGGTTGAAACCCTTTCAATATCTTTCATCTATGTAAATAAAGAAGCTAACTCAGTGGCGAATCTTTTGGCCAAGAGGGGGCTTCTTTACCTTCTATGTTAATTTCTAATGGTGTAACTTTTATTTTGAGTTAGTAATAAAATTTCCTAATCTTTGTTGCAAGATGCATTATTTCTGGGACTCAAAATCCTTTTTTTTTTTTTTCATATTCATGCATCTCAATATCGATGATCAATTAGAGGGTTTTTTAATATTAAAATAAACTTTTTCTTATGGATTTTTGATATGCATCCCGAATTAACCTTATATCAACTTTTTCCTTTTAATAAATCGCCTTTTTTATTATTCTCTGAACGTATACTCACGTAAATAATTTTAATGATTTAGGAGGATACTTTGGGAAATTTATGTAGTAGGGACAAAGAAGGAAGCATATAATTTGGTCCCAATGTTCGTCTCGGCTCACTAAAAAATATATATATAAATACGAAAGCTCTCTCGCTCTGTCTCTAAATTAATACGTATAACGGTACAAGCCTTTCCGTTTGTCTTATGAGCTTATCTGTGTCTCTGAACGGTCCGCCCTCCCTCTCTCTCTCTCTCTCTCTCTCTCTAGCAGCTCCTCCCCTCCTCTCCCCGTCCAACTTTCTCTCTATACTTCCGCTCTCTCTCTCTCTCTCTAAATTTTTTAGTAATTAATCTCCCCACTCCAGCCAAGAACCCCCGTCCAACTTTCTCTCTCTAGTTCCGTTTTCTCTCTCTAAAAATTGTAGTAATTAATCGCTCCAGCCAAGAGCCCCGGCCAACTTTCTCTCTCTAGTTTCGCTTTCTCTCAAAATTTTAGTAATTAATTCCGAACCCCTCTCTAACCTCCTCTCCCTCTCTCTCTCTCTCTTTTCTTTTTCAGGTAACTCATGCCCTTGCGCTTATCCCTCTCTCCTTCTCTCGGCAACATTCTCTCTCTAACTTTTGCCGTTTTCCGGCATTGTTTTGCCGGAATACGGCCATATTTCGACGGAGTACCTAGAAAACAGAGGAGAGATGGATGAATATTTGCAGTTGTTTGTGAGTGAAACAGATTGGTACAACAGCATTGTATTGGGTTCTCTTTTGCCTGAAAATTTATGGAAGCCTCTGGCACATGTATTGCAGTCATGGCTTCGCAACTACATTGCAGGGAGCCTGGTCTACTTCATTTTTGGTGGCCTCTGGTGCTTCTACATTTACTATCTCAAGCGCCATGTCTACTTTCCTAAAGGTATTTCGTTTACTTTTTAAGGTTTCATCTCCTCTTTCGATTTTTTTTTGAGACAACCCGCCATCTCTGGTGTCATTAACCATTGCAATGTGATTGGTTTTTCCTTTTTCTTTTTGCTTCTACGTTTGTTTTAATTTTTTGTTGGTATTAGCCGTTGCAATGTCATTGGCCCTTCTATTTACTTGGGTAGATTTGGCGGCGTCATTGTGATTTAAAGATTGGTAGGTATTACGATGTAATGAACGTTATTGTACTGTAACTTGTGTGGTTGGGAAACTTATGGTTGTCAGTTAAGTTTGGTTTCACTGCCATTGTGTTTTCATTGAATGGATATTTTAGCTTGATATTTGAGGATCTAATCATTTGTTTTTTTTGGTGAAGCTTCTGGTCAGATGTATTTGGATTTATTTACATGTTAATGTATTTGGTTTATTTCAGGTGGTTGATTTGGGTTCTGAATTTGCTATTTCTTTGGCCTCTCTTTCACGAATTTCAGCTGAAAAATTTCAATGCAGCATTTTAGATTTCATCATCATCATCATCATAATAGCCTTTTTCTATTGGCTACACGAATCGTAGTCTATCAAGGGCCCGTGAGGCCATAATTCCATGTATTTTTTCTCACTATTTCCACCAGTGACCTTTTGGGCCTACCCCTACCCATTTTGAGCCGTCCACTTGAATTTACTCGGACCTCCTAACACGTGTTGTATTGGATTTGTACTGCACATATCTAGCCCACCTAAATCTACTTTCGCTCATCTTATCGCCTATTGAACGAGTTCTCCCAAATATATTCATTTTGAATTCTATCCCTTTTTGTCTGGCCGCTCATCCATCTCAACATCCTCATACCAGCTAAAAAAGTATTTTAAAATTTTAGGGTGTTGGCTTCTTTTTTAAACTCAATTGCCTACTGAGTATTAGTTTATATCTCTTGAAAGTTCAGTTTTAAATTTATTACTATTAGTTTTTGACTTTTTAAATTTGCCTCTATGTGTGTGTGCGCATGTGCATGTGTGTGTGTCCTGAGCCCATCAAGTCTTGCTTATTTTGGCATAACATTCACATAACTCCAAGAAATTGCACTCAGTAGTATGTCACATTCATCAAAATTAGTCATTTTTCTTTTTTCATATCAGGATGGGTTAAGCAGGATCTGATTGCAGTGATCTCCCCTTCATATGTTGTTTGGATGCTTTCTTCAAATTATTTTTCCTGCTATAATGTTGTTTACGCTTGATTTTTTTCTAGATACTATACCCTCAAAAGAGGCAATACTCCTTCAAATCTGGGTTACCATGAAAGCAATGCCCTTGTACGTGTCACTCCCAACTGTTTCAGAGTACATGGTTGAGAAAGGTTGGACTAGATGTTATTCAAGTATTAGTGAAGTTGGATGGCTGGCCTATATTGCGCTTCTTATAGCATATCTAGTTATCGTGGAGTTTGGGATTTACTGGATGCATAGAGAATTGCATGACATAAAGCCTTTATACAAATACCTTCATGCTACTCATCACATTTACAACAAGCAGGATACACTCTCTCCTTTTGCAGGTAAGCAACCTTCCTATCTTTATCCATTTTTGTAATGGATTTGGTTTTTCTCCCAAGTTCTTTTTAGTTTCAAGAACTGTAATATTGGTCTTTTTGGAAATGCAATTTGTAAATTTTGATGAGTTAATTGAGCTTGTAATTTCTTTCCTTTTCTTTCTGATAGTTAATGGTTCATTGTGTGAGATCCCGATTTTGATTGCTGACCATGCTGTTTTCTTTAAATGTTACGAATGCTACTTTTTGTTAGTAAAGTATACTGGTACTTTCAAATTTACAATATATTGATTCTTATGTATGAAGTATAATTGTTATAGGGATTATTTGATTTGTTACATGTGAGGTCTTCCAGGGTGAAAACTAAGATATCCGTGTAAGGAAGAAAAGAATTGGGAAACCTATGAATATCTTGTGTGTGATTATCTAGATATAGTTCATGTAACACGGGAATAAACTTGGCTGCTTTTTCATGTGAAAGAAAAGATTGAAGGAATGAATTCTAGGATTTCAACATCTGGATTGCTGGACATCATTACTAACTCAGTTTTTGTGGTGTGTGTTTGCTTCTCTAGGTTTCATCTATTTGTCTTTTAGGGCATTCTAATGAACGTGATGCATACAAACTGTTTGTGTATAAATTTGGTATCTTATGGTTCTTATACTCTTGAATACAACTGCTAGGTGAGGAGCAATAGCTCATGTACATATTAGTTACTCATTGTGGCTTTTGAGTCTAATAAATAGTTTGTTGCTAAATATCTTTTAGTGACTGTGGTAGTATTTTCTGCTTCTGTATCCTTTAATCAGCCTTTATTACTTAACTTTTTAAAATGTAAAAATTCCTTTGTTACTTAGGCCTGGTACATGTAAGTATATTGCTACATGTTTTCCGATCCCATTTTAGGGCCTTAGGGGCATTTGTTTGGGCCCAACTTTTGCGTACACACTCTTTTGGTGAGCAAGATTGTCATAACATGCCTGTTGTTGTAATGTACGATATTCTAAGTGTTATTTTACTTGAGAAGTGCTTGAAAAAGGTTGACAAAAGGAGTTTTAAAAAAAAAAAAAAATCTAAATCGATGAAGGAACAACGATATGGGATTAAAGCTTGAACCAGAATCAATTCATTTTTTTGCCATGGTTGATGATGCCCCTGGTGCATCTTTTTTTACCATTCATGTTTAGTTAATTATTGAGATAACCATGAATATTCCTAATGAATTTGTAAAAAGAAAAACTCAATAAATTTATTGATTTAAGCTTCAAAAAATATTTTCCTATTTGTATGGCTTCTAACTATAGAAAAAAGATTGATGTATCCATATCCTTCTATTTTCTTCATATAAGCATCTTTTTGTGCTTTCCATTCCATATCTTACACCTTGGTACTTGTCAGGGCATCACGCACCCATTGTCATTATAAACTAGAACATATGGAAATTAGATGCCTTTTAACATTTTCTTATAGGCTTTTATGTGCCATCCAGTTTCTAATTGCAACCATAAACTGAGTCCAGCAATTTATCTGTGATTTTGCCATTGGAATGAAGGTCCTCTTATAATCTATTCCTTGCCTTTGGGTGGAATCTTTGTCCACTAGACGTCCTCTGTACCTTTCACTATATTCATTATTTACCAATTTTCTACCCATTTCTCTTTTTATCTAGGGAAAAGAGCATCGATTAGTTTTCCTTTTCTGAAAACAAGGACATTAGAAACAAGGGATATGATGCAGAAAGATTCAGGAGCTACAAATCTCTCAACATGAAAAATGGCATGTTGAGATCCAAAGGGAAGTGGAATAATCTTCATAGAAGAGGATACTTTATGATACCTCATCTTAGGTGGTTTAGGGTGTGAACCTAGTCAGAAATTCTCCATTTGAGAGAGAGAGAGAGAGAGAGAGAGAGAGAGAGAGAGAGAGAGAGAGAGAGAGAGAGAGAGAGAGAGAGACGTACGTACGTACTACGTACTAAGTACGTACGTACGTACGTACGTACTACGTACGTACGTACTACCGTACCGTACCTACGTTACCGTACGTT